TTTTCATATATTATATATTATTATTTCATATATTATTTTAAACTTTTAATACACCCATTATTATTACTTTTCCTTTCAAGCAGGTATTTACATGTAGTTAAGGTAATAAGAGTAATTCAGATACGACATTTGATATCAAATGTGGTATGCGGTTTTAACTTTTTTGTAAGAGAAAACAAAAGTTACAAAGTGTTAGTAATCAATAAAACCATTTTGTTCAATTCATTTGTTGGTCATACTATTAGTGAATTGAACTGCAGAAATTATTTTTAATAAAATAAAGAAATTTTAGCAAATTCAGAAAAAAAATATTTCAAGTTTAATTTTGAAAAGAAAAAAAATTTGACAAGCGATCTCTTCTTTTTTCTTTATGGGATCAATGTGCCCATTGATCCCATATATATATATATATGTTGTTGCTAGCTAGCGGGAAGATATTTTCACATCATTTAAAAAAAAAATTTCGCAAAGAACATTCGTTCTATTCGCCCTCAACTGAAGCAATAGTGTATGCGTGTATGTGTGTGTATGTGTATATGTTGTCTGTGTATGCATACATTTGTGTGTATCTGTGTGGGGCATATGTATGTATCTGTTCAAATATTTAGTATTTGTGGATGTTACAAGAAGTAACTATTTTTATTATTACTATTTTTTTATTAGTGAAATCAACCGTCTGCTCAATTTTCTCTCTCCTCTCTTTCTCCCTCACTCTCTCTCTCTCCACTAAATTGTGTTTATCTTGATTGGTTTGTTTTTATATTTGCAAACTTTTAATTCAATCATTTCATCATTCTTTTTTTTCTTTCTGTTTGCGTTTATACAAAGCCCTAAATGTATAAATATGGTATATTTTGATGAAAATTATGAAAACTTGAAAAAAAATCACATATAGTCTTTTCATTTCCTTCCTTTTCCTTTTTTACTTTTTAAGAATTGAAATTGTTGATTTTGAATTTTTGAGAAATTTTAGTTCCAAACTTTTATTTAATTGCATATGGTTAGTTTTAGGCATTTATCTGTTGGTACCATTTATGAATTTTTTATGATTGATTTAGATTTTCATCTTTCAAATTAGTTAATTATGTAGGTCTGCTTTCCCTGTGGTAACATGTGTTATGGAAAGTTTTATGGCTTTTCATTTGTTAGCTTATTTTGATTGATTATATTTCGATTGTTTACTATTTTCTCAAGGAAATCATGTTAACTGAAGCAGACAGAGTTTTAATGACTGATGGGATAAATTATTATATAAATAAACACGTGCAAGTAATCATCATCTGGAAAAGACATTTGCATATTACCGCATTATAAATTCCCTACCAACATGGAAAAGTCCTCATTTATTTTCTGTCATCTTGAAGGAAATTAAGTTTTAGGATGAATTGAGATATGAGATGATTTTTTTTTTTCAGGAAGGTTATAACAGGAGGATGAAGAGCTGTCTTAGCAAATTTGTATTTAAATGTTAAATTGTTGAATTAACAATAGCTTATAATAATTATAATATGTTCATATACGGAATTTGAAATATGTATGCATTGTGGAATGCAAATTCATTATTGTGGTGAGTTTTTTTTTTTAAAATTTGCAAAAAAAGCTGATAAGACGATGAAAAGTCTTTTATTTACTTACCAATTTCTATTCCAGTTGCATCGTTAATAACAATTGTCATTTACCACTACTAATGAAGAGTATTTCGGTCATTTTATCTGTCTACTTCTTTCTGCAATTAATGTTCTAAATTCCTAATGAGCATTGAAAAATTATAAAACTGATACAATTGATTCAAGAGCCAAAGTTGAAATTTGAACTGGTAATTTGAAATTTGATTTGAAATTCGAATTGGTTTGAAAATTTGAAGTTTGAATTAGTCCGTGGATTTCATTTTAAGATTTCACGTCGGCTGGATGCTTGATTTTGATCGGTAAATTTAATTTTGAACTTTTAGATAGATATTAACACTTTAATAGGCTATACCGTTTGATCAAAAATAAAGAAGTATGCTCTTAGTATTAAAAAAAAATCTGTCATGCTAATTTTACACATTAGCCTGTCATAGGATAATTGACCTTCCAGGTTTTTCGTACGACTATTCCGTTTTCTTTTTTTTTATATGCCCATATTTCTTTTTTTTAAATGTCTACCACGACACCTATTTTTCGTAAAGAAAAAAGGTGTAAACAATACATAAAAGGTAACTTTCTGTATTATCAACTGTTTTGAAGAGAAATTTACTACTATTTTCTTTCAAATACTTTTTTTTCTGAGTGATACTAAGTTTTTCTTTCTAAATTTTAGCAAATAATTTCTTGAAGTTTTAAATTTTCGTTCTGAATGTTTTAGGTGGTTCAATTTCATCTTTTTTTTTCTTTTTGGAAAAGGGGAAGGAAGGAGGAAGGAAGACCCATTGATAGGTGAATGATGCGTGGAGGCTGGGATGAATGATTGTCATTTTGCAAATGGCGGCTTCATTTTTCTTTCTCTTTTTTTCTTTTGAGAAAAATTTCCAAAACTCTAATGAATCGACTATTTATTGATTAGTTTGCTGTGATATGGAAGCAAACGATAAGACGGAAAATTTGTTGAAGGACTTGATTGCTTAGATGTTATTAGACTATTTTGTTTGCTTTATTAATTATGTGTATAATTTTGCAGCTCTTTTGCATTTTTTTACCAGACTATTAATTTTAAAGTTGTTGATTTTTTAATTTATTTATTAACTAATTATGATCATTATTTGCAAACTTTCTTGTATATTTTAAGTAAACTGTATATATTATTGATACACTCATTTCGTTACTTCCTTCGCATTCCTTATAGATTCCGTTATTTCTTTAGTTTTCAGTAATATGACTTACAGTACTGATTATTTTATAGAAGAATGTGGGGAATATCGATTATCAAACTTGATATATATATATATATATATATATATATATATATATATATATATATATATATATATATATATATATATATATATATATATATATATATATATATATATATATATATATATATT